CATTGTCCATGTTTACTGCAGCATTTCTATAAGTGCACAACACACTGTTACACAGTGGTACGCATGGAGTTCATTAGAGTGTGATGTTTCAAACAATTCATTGTTTCCTGATGCATTTAAACATGGGAACCTTTCTTTATACTGAATTTTATGGGAATGGAATTTAGGAGACTGATCTAACCTTTTGGTTTCAATAATGGTGGACCATATTATTCTAATAACCTGTCCTAATAAAAATGATGAATAAAATCTACTTATTTATATTGACACATATACATATACATTCTTTACTCTCACATGTGTAGCTATGTATACACATACACACAGAATAGGAATATAAATTACCAGGCAAAAACTAAAGGAAAATGAAACAAAATAGAAACTTAGAAAGATTATAGCAGGGTAAGGAAGCTGCTTTTGCCCTGAGGGTAAAATCAAACTAATTGACTTTTTCTTTTTTACTTTGTTTGGTGAAGGAGGCAAACATCAGAGCCCAGGCTCCCCACAAGGTAGGAGCTCTAATGGGGGACCCTCCAGAATTAGCAGGGCTCACTCAGGGTAGGGGTGAACCAGAGGGAACCAGCTGTGCAGACTCACTGCTGTGCTCCAGGCCCCTCCACTTGAGCCTTGTAAAGGTGGTCCTAGAACAGGGACTCCTTCAGTCCCCTGGCAAAAGCCATCACAAATCATCTCTAGAGAGAGGCACTTGCATCCTAGGCTTTCAATTATTCCTAAAAGTACATGTTCAGGCCAGTGACCCCTCACTGTCCCCTCCTTGGCTGAAGTATTGCTCATCTGCAGCCTACATTTCATAATGGGCTTTTCATAAGTTACCTTGACCCTAGCTTCTCCATCCAAGATAAGTTGAAAGATTATGCTCCCCAAATGCCTTAGTTGCTGTATTTATCATTTTCGTTTTGTTGTTTGATGGACCGCCTTTACCAAAAGACCCTGAACCCCTCAAAGGCAGAGACCATACCTTCTTCATCCTGTGTTCCCAGCACTGAGGACAGAGCATGCATCCAACTGTGTGTATTCAATGAATGAACAAGCCCTTCCTGAAAGTGTGGAAACTGAAGGGGAGAGTTCCAGTGAGTGAATAAGGCAGGTAACTCCTGAGATGTAAGGCCATCTCCTCTGCCTTGGCTTTCCAGGGCCACCTGGTTTATCCCCAGGCCATAGGTCCCCAAACGTGGGGACAAGGCACAGAGGATGAGGAAATAGAACGTGGAAAATGGAGAGACCCAAGGGAGCAACAGCTGTCATGAAAAGGAGAATGAGATCTATGCACAAAACACCTGCTTTGAGTCCTGCCCCACCTCACACTAGACATCTGGTTCAAGTCACTTAACCTCTGCACCTCAGGCTCCTCAGCTGTCACATCAGAGCAGTAATGATACCAATCCTGTTGCATACGGTTGTTTTTCAAAATGAGGTGGTAGATTTGAAATTGCTTTGTAATTCAAAAAGAGCATGTAAACTAGCTTTTGCATTGAAGCTGTTGGTTATTATTACTAGTGGTATTGAAAAGGAGACCCAGAGAGAAAAGGACGCACAGAAGTGAGGTTGCAGTGAAGAGAAGCTGAAGACAAAAATCACTCTAACAGAAGCAGATTCTCAACTGTCATAAAGGCACTGAAACCCTTCATATGTGGGAACTCGAGTTCTAGATTAGAAGGCGGGACCACATATTGGTTAAAATAAAGGCTTTAAAGTAAGGTCTGGCCTAGTAGGTTAAGATGAACAGGTGCCCCAGCAGATGGTCCATGTGAGTTAACACGAGGCCTTGCCATGAGGATCTCTTAGAATATTAATCACCATCAATCTTTCTCATCCCTTTGGTGCTGTACACATTATTCCACCCCCTCTCTTTTCCCCTGTGGCCCAGCCCCCTCTAACACCCACCTGCCTCACAGAGTCACCTTACTAATCAAGTTGTCAGCAACCATCAGCTGGGTGGAGATGCTTATGCCAATGGCAAAGAATGACATCTGATTGTGACATTTTTTCCAGCCAACTTCTGTCTGGGGACCTGGCCTATATTCCCTTCTTGCAAGCTCTGAGCCCAGGAGAGTAGCTGTTATCTTATCTGGGTGCCCAACTCCCACTGCCCACTGAAAGGATGGAACTAGTTATCCATCAAACTATACCCCATTTCTACTTTCTTGAAAAGATATTTCTCTGAACTTTGAGGTAGATTCAAAGAATTGGAAATACAGACTGTCAGAGATAGTAAAGGTCCTTAGAGATGGTCTCATCCAACTTCTTCATTTTATGGAGGAGGAAACAGAGGTCCCAAGAGGTGAAATGGCTTATTCAAGGTTACAGAAAGAATTGTGGCAGAGCCGGGAGAAGAACAGAGGTGGGAGAAGCTGAGGGACAACAGGCATTTGTAATGTCGAGTTACACATTTTCATCATTTTATCCATGAAGAAACCCTTCTCTTGTTGCATTTTATTTTAGAACTATAAAATTCCAAATAATGAAAATCCCTTAATATTTTTCATTTAATATGATTGTCACTCTCTTACTACCTAAGTTGCCTTTCAGATTCACTGACAAAACCCCTTCAAACAAGAAGAAGAAAATGGCTTCAGGTCTTGTGGACCTAATACACGCTAGGTGCCATGTTAGGCAGGTTTATGAGACAGGATCCCTCAGAGTGGAGAGATCGTATAACTTGTCTGATATCAGAGGGTCAGGAAATGGACCTTTCAGACTCAAAAGCTCCTGTTGCTCCCCCCCCCCCCCATACCTGCCAGGCAATTTACATCAGTTATTTCATTGCGCAGAAAAGAGAAGCATCACATGCACAGTGACTAGTGCAGCGCCCAGAACATAGTAGGCCCTCAATCAATAAAGGGCGATGCCCTCTGCCCTTCCCCTATAGGAGTCAAGAATAGATTTGAGTCATTTTCCTTCTGGATATTTCATAATATCCATATATAACATTCATATATACATATGCATAATATATTATGAGATACAAAAATTTAGATGTATATAGCTATTTTTGTATTGATTGTTTATGGGAAATATTATGAAGTCTATCTCTATGTACTAATATTAACCTACCATTGTCAATAATTTTTGCATAGGCATTTTTTTGGAAGAGATAACATCATTGAAAAATATCGCACACTGGGAAGTGGCATTTGAATTCTATTCAGCAGGTTTTTCTATTCGGTGAATATTGTGCAGAAGCAGACTCAGCCTAGATCCCAGCAGAGAGCACCTCAGCCTGTCCAAGGAAACTCTTCCCAGCCTCCCAGGGGTTTGGCTCCACGTTCTGGGCTTGCCATTCTCTTTAAATAGCTCATAGAATGTCCTAATGAACATTGTAGAGGGACCAGGAGTCAGGAAATCTGGATTTTTTTTTACATAAGAAAGGACATATTATGATTTCTTAAATTATAAAAGAAACAGGCTAGGGTAGAACTTTTAATTAGCCTAAAACCTGCTGAAATAGAATACTCAGAAGGTCACTTTTATAACCATCAGTTTTAGACATAAGCGTGTCAGCATTGTGCAGCTGTGTGAAGGTGCCTGTCCTGGGAGACAAAAGCCACCTAACGTTGATGCTTGAAGGCACCTTACTCATAGTACGGCCCAAACTGTGAGAACGAGATCCAGAGACAAGTTACACACAACGTAACAGAGCTAGAAGAGAACCAGGTAAATGAATGCTACTTGGCAGTTGTTTTAGATTATTCTTTCTATGCTACTGGGCTGCAAATTCATGGGATTGGATTAGCGGGGGGGGGGGGGGGGGGGGCGGGGGCATGGCAGAGGGGGGAGCACGGGGAGCAGGTCAGGCAGAGTCCGATTTGTGGAGCCACAGGTGATTTAGAGTTCAAAGGCAGCATAGCAGTCAGGATGACTTTCTGCTATGTCCCAGGGTGACTGAACAGAGCTTGCTTAGAGGGAAACTCGAGATTGCCTGTTCTTATTTATCTGTTTGTTTGGGAATCTGCCAAAAATTTTGTCTCCTGTGCTCATGCCCCAAGCCTTATGGGGTTGCTTTGAATAGCAGTTGTTGATCTACCTATATTTTTAATGTTTGTGTTTACAGTTTCCGGCTATAAAAATCCACCCCAAAGCCTCTGGAGCAGGGGTGGGGAACATCCAGCCGTGGGCTGTTTAAGGCCCTGGAAATCATTTGGTCTGGCCCTGCCAAGGCATGAGGGGTGAGTTCATTAAATGTTTGCTCAAATATAGCAGGCTAATTTTTAAGTTGATAATTTTGTCTGGCCTGTGAACGATGCTATAAATATCCAAATGGCCCTTGGCAGGAAAAAAGGTTCCCCACCCCTGCTCTACAGTTAGCAAGCAAGAGAGAAAGATCATGCTACTGAGGAAGGGTGACTGGCCTTGGGACCCAGATGCTTGTCCCACGGGGCTCACCTTCCTCTTGGAGGCTTCTCACCACCAAGGCTGCCTCACCAGGGCTGACATGGGGAATGCCTACCTATCTCGGGGCGTCCTACCTAGCCTCTTCCCTCAGGCCTTTACCCTTTGGCCTCAGGAGGGCAAACCTATCAGATGAGAAAATGTAACCCATACAGCCACCATGGGTTCCAGCCACTCGCACAGTAGCAGGGGTATCGTCCAGTGATCCTCCTGAACAGATCTGATTTTGCATTTCCTTCCACATCCAGGAAGATGAATTTTGAGTTTACTTACATGCAGAGAACATGCTACCATGAGGACCTCATCGTGGCCAAACCCTCTCCTCAGACTAATTAGAGGGCAGGCAACCTTCAACCTTTAACTCTTCCACCTTCAAATTTCCACCCTCAGATCCTGCTGACTTGCAGAGGGAAGTTTATCCGAGCATTCTAGAAAGCATAGGGGTCCCACATGGGATTGCACCAGCTTGATCTGCTTGGTCATATCCCCGTGAACCGGTCCACTAGTTGAAAAGCAAGAGGAAGAAAGGAAGGAGGAAGTGTTTCTAGTGGGAAAACATGAACCAAATAAACAAACAGGAAGTCACCGAATTGCATCCAAAGTTTTATTCTTGCCAAAGTTTGGGGGTTGCGCTAACTCTGGCAGGCTGCCTTGATAAAGAAGCCAAGTGTGGAGGTGAAGCCATGAAGTTCTACATCACTGGGAAGACAGAGAGCAGGCAGGGCTGGTGGAGGTTCAGCAGGTAAAGCAGGCATTGAGTTTGGGAGCAGAGCTGTGTTTCTGTATTTAACAGCAGCAGTCATCCTCGCGATGACAGCACGCAGGACCTTCTGACCTCATGGGAATAATTCCCAGACAGCAGATCCCAGAGCAGCACCCGGAGCAGCAGCACCCGGAGCTGCAGCACCCAGAATCCTCACAGCAGCCAGAATCCTCACAGCAGCCAGATGATCCTGAGTTGCAGTTTTGAGGCCGTTGGACCCACCGTCTGAGGGGGCTCACCCCGAAGGTCCGGGGAGCCAGGCAGCAGTAGCTGGTGGAACAGGGAGCAGAGCATGGATCAGGGACACAGCACGAGGCGCCCGAGCCACTTGCAGAAGACTGAAGGTAGTAGCTCTGGGAAGAAGGGTACTGGACATAGTATGTCCGGGTCTGGTAGGGAGTCGGGTATTTCACGTAGGTCGTCTGGCACGGAGCTGGGCACTTCACGTACGTCTGGCAGGGAGTTGGGCATTTTACATAGGTTGTCTGGCATGGAGCTGGGCACTGCACATACGTCTGGCAGGGAGCTGCACATTTCACATAGGCTGTCTGGCATGGAGCTGGGCACGCCACATAGGTTTGAGTTGGGCATGGAGCTGGGCATTTCACGCAGGTTTTAGTTGTGCATGGAGCTGGGCATTTCACAGTGGTAACTTGAGAACTTTGTGCAGCCCCCAGTCCCGAACCTTTCACACAAGATGGAGGAAACTGCACCTGCTTCTGCTGGTCACACATTTTTCTGTGCTTTGTAAAATCTGAAAAGAAAGGTTTAGTCAGAACTAGGATGTCCAGGGGCACCTGCAGCATCCCCTTTGGATAGAGTGGTCTGTGAGGAGTAGCCTTTCAAGAAGGTCATGGGCACCCAGAAGCTGTCAACCTGGCATTCAGGTGGACTTGCTACCTTAGGCTCAGCTCTTGTTCTTTCATCTGGCCGTGTGACGCTGGATAAGGCACCCCTCATCGCTGGGCCTCAGTTTCCACCATGGAAAATGAAGGGCTTGCAAGAGTGATGTCTGCATTTCTGCCCAACTCTCTAAGCCTCCTCTCCCCTTACTCACTGTAGTGTCTGCACTATGAATGCTTCTTGGGAAATGGTTGTTTCCACTGAGTTTACCTTGCCATCGATTCATTCAAGAGTGGCTTTCCAATGTCACTCCAATAAAATTTAATTTTTAAAAAAAAAAAGAGTGGCTTTCCTTCCTCCTGCCCAGTCAGGCAGACACAGGGAAGGCAATTTCATGTCAATAGACCCCAAGCCAACAGGAGTCTCAAGCTGAGCCTGACAGAGTCTAACAAGGCCAAACTTGAGTAAGTTTCCACCATTTTCTCTTTGGATCAGCTAGACTGTCACTTTACCTCATTAATGAATCCAAGAGAGGACGGCACAACTACATTCAGCAAGAGAAGGTGGCCCAGTTCACTGAAAAGCCTTTTTTCCATAGGCCTAATGGCTCAGTTCACCCCTCTACCTCTCCTCCAACCCTCCAGCCTCCTTTTCTACCAGCTACTGCCCTCAGCTTTCTTCAGCAGTAGCCCTCAATGCCTTGTCACGACCACCCCCTCCAGAGTTTTCCATGCCAACTCCATCACGGCTCTCTTTCATTCTGTTGTTATCCCTCTGTTGACTTACCCTCTGTTGACAGGAACACGACTGGAAGAAGCCAGTGATCTGAGGAGCTGGCAGTTGGAGAGACCTTTTATAGGGGAGTAGTGAGGCAATTTAATGGTATCTGAATGAAGCACCAGCAATCATGAGGACAAGGGCCAGCATTGCATTGGTGAGATTCCTCCCACTATGTCTAACTCTTCAGTCATAGGCAGAGCATGTCTCTGCTTGACATGCTCAGCCTAAACTTGAGATAAATGAAAAATCTAGATATAGATCAAATCTAGATATTTGAATTTACCTAAACATTAGATAAATGATTCTTGTTGCCTTCCTCATTAGACAAGTCAGTCTTCTTTTTCTACAAGTTAGGAGAGATGCTGATGAGATCTGTCCCCATGAAGTTGTTTCTAGGTCACTGGAGTCTTCAAGGACTTGTTAAGATGTGATTAGTAGCTCAATTTTTCACACTAGCTGTGCCAAGAGCTACTCTGCATTTGCCCAGACTAAATGAAGTGTTCTTTCTGAGGACTTTGATGGTAGTTCCTGTTGGTCTGGGTTACTGCACATGAAGAGTTTGGCTCAGTGGTCCCCCCCTCAATATGGCAGCAAGGCCTTCAAGAAATGCTCTGTTCCATGGACACACAGGTTATTCTATGTTTCTCCCACTATGATGATCCCAAACTCCAGGATCTATATCTAGGCTGTCTTTCCCCACCTTCTCATGCCCTATGATCTGCCTCATTCTCATCTCTCTGAACCCCATTACCATGCCTAGATCCCCAAGAGCCCAGCACAGGGGGAATTCCAGCCAAAGGAACACCACACGATAACAATAATAGTAGAATATAACATTTAGTTGAATTCTCTTTATGTGCCAAACAGTTCATGAGACACATACACTTACAGATGGTTGTGTTGCTGAGACCCTGAAAGACTAAGGAAGTTGCCCATTGTCACAAGCAAATAAGTAGAGAAGCTAGCATTTAAATGTAGGCAGCTGGCCTTCATAAGCCATGACTTTTAGCACTACAATACATTACCTTTTATTTCTAGATATAGCTTTGTCCCTGAATCTCTGCCTCCTTTTCTTTCCCCAGTGCAGTGTATGTAGGAAGAGAGGTAGAAATAATATATATTTAGAACTTACTATGTACTAAATACCGTCCAACTGCTTTATCTGTGTTACTTCATTTGATCTTCATAATAACCCTGTGGTGTAGGCTATGATAGTCCTAGTTTTACGGAAAAGGAATCTAAGACCCAAAGGCTTAACTATTCCACCAAGGACATCCCATTGGTAGGGAAGGGGGCAGCATTGAACCCAAGCTTGTCTACTTTCAGAGCCCACACTCTTCCCACCAAGCCATGTTGAATTGCCCAGTGTGGAAGGTTAGCTTACTCCTGAGCCTAGCACTGGTTCCAAATACTCATGCCCTCAGATCAGCCAGCCCAGGCCCCACCATGGACTCTGTGGCCTTTCAGGTGAAAGATGTTTCTGCGTTTCTCCATAATGGATCCCCAAATTCTCAAAGACCCGTAAGCCTTAAGGCTCTAAAATTTCCTAAATAAAAAGGAAAAAACACAACAACACAAACCCCTACTACTTCTTAGGCACTTCTCACTCCAACCCAGGTCTTTCAAGGTCTGTCCCTGAATAGTTTGGAAGAGGCAAGAATAGGAGATTCTGCCCCAGACTTGGAAAGTTTCCTGTTTCCTCCTGCCATCTGTGCTTCTGGTAGGCTTGTAACACTCCATAGCTTCTTCTGAGAAGCCCACCCATCCCTCTCCCCAAGGGGATGGTGTAGTGGGGAGGAATGTGGTTTCAGGCCATTCCAGTACCTGCTCATCTAAGTGGCCCAGATCAGTTAATACCTAGGCCCGATGTTTTCTGAAGGAAATGGAAAAGGGCTGATCTTTTATTGGGGCTGGACACTTCATATGGGATAGCTTATCAAATTTAGTCCCCTTAAGAGTGTCTCAAATAAATAAGTAAACAAACAAATGTGCGCAAGCTCACATAACTAGAAGTGGTGGATTCAGAATTTGAACCCAGGAATAAGAGACTTAAAATTTACTGTCTTTTCCACCATAACATGCTGCTTCTAGTGTTAAAATACACAGTGTTTTAGGAACTATACATTTCAGCACCTAACAGACGCAGTTAAGAAGCCCACTACCTTACATGTAGGATGGGCAGCCCCACTTTACAAGGAAGAAAATGTCCTAGACGGCCAGTATTTTAGGGCATGGCAATGAAACCAGAGAGAGCGTTCAAGGCACAAATGGAACTAAGCCCCTGTCCTGATTCTGCCACTGCCTCACAAAGTGATTCCACTGTGGCCTGCAGTCTCTCCCACTCACTTATTAAATTTCTTGGGATAACTCTGGTTAATAATATTATATAATTTTAAATGTACAAGATTATAATTTGACATCTGTGTACTCTAATGTGTGTTCCCCATCCAAATTTTAGTCTTCTTTCATCACCATATACTTGACCCCCTTTACCCACTTTGCCCACCCCCTGTCCCTCTTCCTCTCTGGTAGCCACCATCCTGCTGTCTGTACTATGAGTTTGTTTTATTAGTTCCTTTGTTACTTTTTTTCATATTCCCCATATGAGTGATATAATATGGTTTTTGTCTTTTTCCATCACTTATTCCACTTAGCATAATACTCTTGAGATCCATAATGTTGTCACAAATGGCAATATTTTATCTTTTTTATAACTGAGTAGTGGTCCATTATATTTACATATATATCATATCCATCCACTCTAAAATAAAGAGTTAGATGAGGCCCCTTCTGGGATAATCTATGATTGTGGAAGTCTAATCTACAAAGGAAATGTGCATTTCCACATTCTAGTCATCCATGGAGTTATTCCCACTAGACCATAATTCCATGCATTGGCAACTATGGACATGTTCACTGGGTATCACCTGGCTCTAGCACAGGACCTGGGAACCATTCACTAGACAAACAGAGAAATGAAATACATGCATGAATGGGGATGCTTTACACTGATGGTAGAACCTAGACCACCTTCCTTACCCAATGTGGTGAGAGCCCATTCTGCTGTTAGCCAATCTGTGTGTCCTGTGTCATCTGTGAGCTCTGATTGGATCACTTCCTGCTCTGCGTGGTCAGGCTCTCACTAATGGGTTTGACATCTTCAAGCAGCACTAACATCACTAGTGAGAGATGCCACTTCCATGTGCCACCAAAACAGGTAGGTGGGTTGTGTCCCACCCATTTTACAGACTGAGAAGGCAAGGCATGGTGAAGCCAGATGACGGGTACAAGTGCCAGGGTGAATCACAGGGCTATCTTCAAACATATCTTTGGACACAAGCTCATAAAATCAGAGACTTGTGGACTCATGCAATAGTAGTTTAGTAGACTCACGGGTTAAGAGAATTAGGAATTCACAGAATCAGAATCCTGGCATCTCTGAGGTACAGGGGACTAACACACGTCATTGGTCTGACCCCTGCCAGGAGAGACAGATCATCTGACCTAACGGGCTATTCTTCTTAAGATTTTCTGGTCTTTAAAAATTCTCTACAGTCCCTCTGGTTAGCTCATTTCAGGACTTACTACCATCTTCATAGTCAGGAACTGTATACTAGAGTATCTCTAAGGTTCCTTAGAGACTCAGCATCCACAAATCCTGACATTAATTACATGTTTGAAGCTGTGCTCCTCAGTGCACAAACCAAACCAAAATTTTAACTCAATGGTACCACCAGCCCCAATCAGGAGATCAGAGCGGGAGTTGCCCAAGTTGGCCTGTCACTCCCTGAGGGCAGGGCCTGGGGCTCCTCTCATCCTGGGAGCTTCCCTTGACCAGGGTCTAGAGATGTTCTGAGGGCAAAATCTGGGTCGTGTGTGTGTGTGTGTGTGTGTGTGTGTGTGTGTGTGTGTGTGTGAAAAAGAAGTGGAAGGAATTAGGAAGCCACACACCTAGATGAGAGAGAGAGAGAGAGAGAGAGAGAGAGAGAGAGAGAGAGAGAGAACACAGGAACATTGTATCCAGTAAGAAATGTCACTTCTGTGTCTGAGACTAGAAGATAGTGCAGAGGCCCCTCCCTCAGAGCCTGTGTCCATGTGTGTCTCTCTTCTTGGCTCAGCTCTGACACTTGCCCCAGAACCCCTGCACCATTATTTCAGAGACAATCAAGGATTTCTCCTAGATTATCAAGATATCATATTGGACAGCTGGAAAGGACCTTTACAGGCACTGGGCTCAGCCCTTATATTGTATCAGGCCCACAGGAGGGAAGAAACTTGCTCAAGGCCACACAACCAGGTAGGAGCAGACACCAGACAGGAATCTCTGAATCCCATCCAGGTCACAGACCATTACAACATGTGGTCGCTGGACAGGCTTGCTAGGGAGCGCCTTTATCTGGCCGCCTCCTTGCCTCCCTCCGCTCTCCCAAACCCGCCATGTTTATTTTGTTCACACCTATAGCCTTAGATCTTAAAACTGCTCTTGGGACAGAAAAAAATAACCAATAAATATCTTTTGGATGAAAAGTCCAAGCAAATATTAATGTGAAATAAAGCATGTGCCTAACATGTCAGCCAGTACTAAGCGACTGTTGGTTAGTTTTGCTGGTATTTCTACCTTTTATCCACCATCAACCATATGCAATAATCCTAGTTGCGTTCAGTCCTGAGCAAAAGGACTGAAGACAGGTGGGCAGGGTAAGAAATAAGGCTTTGCTTTTAATTCAGAAGAATTTCAGCCTAGAAAGGCTGTGACTCTGTCACACGAGCCCCTGGTCAGGCTGGCCACCACTTTCTACCCATTTTGGAAAGCACCAGACCATCACCATTTCTCTCTCTCTCCCTCCTTCTTTCTCCCTCAATATTTCTGTCTCTTGTGCTTGCATACACGTGCACATGCACACACACTCAGGCACACATGCACTCTGGTAACCATTTTAAAAAGTGAGTTTTCTTAACATACAAGATAATGAGTTGTA